TTATCTACAATCTGCACGTTTTAGAAAAATAGATGTTTTGACTAAAAATAAGCTTTAAAACTCGTAACTACACAATTTGATTTTAATAGAAATTGATTGCTGTAGTTAAAATGTTTAACGAGTAATAATCTTATTAAAATTGAAATTGATTGGCGACTGGTGAAGCAGTTATTTTGAAGTTTTCACAGTCCATCTTTTTTTGGATAATGCGCAAAGTACTTGAAACGTGTTTTGGATTGATTGAAAGTTCATAACTAAAAATAATTTTGTGATTCATGCTTTATATGAGAGAGTTTTATCTTTCTTATCTTGTTCTGTACATCCCTAAGTTCCGAAACAAAAATTAAATCCGTGCAAAAATATTTTAAAATTTGTAATATGTATAAGCAGAATAAAACCAAAAAAAATAAACACGTCTAATTTTATTTAAACTAAATGTGTAGAGAAGATAAATATCCTTAACTCGTTTTTATGTGGTGGGCTATGAGGAAAAGGATTAAATTTTGAATTGAGTTTAATGTCTTAAAATAATTTTGACAATATTATGTTAGCACCTCCATAAGCTACTATGAAGGATAAAGACTCCTAAACGCATTGATATCCTTTCAAAAGCTGAATTACTAGACAAGATCTCTAACAAGAATTCGATTGTGTACGAGATAATGCATTTTACCCCTTATTTAATCTGCAGATGCATATTCAGTCATTCCGAGAAAGACCCCGGTTGTATGGACTTAAAGTAAACTTTAAAACTCGTAACTATTTACATGATCCTTATCGGGGTTAAAAACTACGTTTACTCTATTTCACGCAAATCATTCTATTTATAATTGATCTGCGATTAGAAACCTGCTCTTCAACAACTTTCACATTGTTTTCTATATTCGGATATTCTATCGTGTTTTGACTCAAATAAAAGTCCATAACTAAGCTTAATTTTGTGATAGATTAACATAAAAGCAAAGCTTATTTTCTTAACGTGTTGTGATCATAACCAATATCATTTAATGTTACTCTTTGAATTTATATTTTGCGATTAGTCGCTCATGCTTTAATAACTTTTAATAAACTTTGAATAATTTAGTTGAAGGTTATGAATCAAAGATTGATATGGTTAAAAACTTTTGGATTTCGTGATTGATGTGAGTTAGGAATGTGATGAAAAACTTATCGTGTTTAAACTCATATCCAAGATCATATATTATTTTAAATCAAATTGAATTAAGTAAAGGATTTAAAATACGTGATTGACTATAGTGTCCTGGAATGTTGTCACATAACCACATACTATTAATTGTATCCTTTGAATGCACTTGAAAATAATGATCGTTTACCTTCGAAATGATTTCATGTATAGTACACTCAAATTCTTAATTTCTTCAGGTCACTTAAACATACTACTATAACACCGTCTTTTAATATTCACCAAGTTTTGCAATATTAATAACTATTTGAAGTATCATGTATAAATTATTTAGTTTAAGTATATAAGCCATCTAGTTATATCTATAAGCCCATGCCACTAGAACTCAACACAAAGTGGTACATAGATTCGTGGAACATTCTTTAAGTAATTCTACTAACAATTCTACTATTATGTCTTTTTTGTTGTCTAAACTTATGTTAATATAAACAAGGTTAAGATTAAAATGAAAGACTTGTTCCTAATCAATATCTTGATTAAAAAGTACCTCATCATTTATTTATACTGATGATGCCAGAAATTATTAATCAATCGTTTGAGTTTATGGTATTCCTATGAAAGTTGATAACTCTTAATTGACAGATTTAGACCACTAGTCTTTCTTGAAATGAGAAGAAGGTAAAGGTTACAGTTCGCCACTTATTTCTAGTATCCTAGATGAACCTATTTGAACCTGGCAATGTCAACAGTATTAATCATCTCTAAGTCAACCAAGCACTAAATCTCTTCAGATGAGTAGAACTGCTTTAATGACAAAGATAAGTTAAGGTTACAGGTTTATACATTGCAGGATGGACCTACGTTCTTAAACATTTGCAAAGAACTGAAAAACAGCAAAATGAACGGTGATGGAGTAGTAGTGGCATGATACGATAGGAATTTGCATTGAGTATTGTCTAGTGGAACTTTATTTGTTATTACATGTGATGCTTTAGTTCTAGCCTAGTTTAAATCTTTTGTTATCATCCAACATAATAACTTTTGATTTGTTTCAAATTTGTAACCAATTTATATAAATATACCAAGGGTACTACAAAATATACACTATCCCGACTACCTTTCTAACAGTATACATGAATGTCTATGTGAACTGTTTTTAGTGTGACAATATGAAACAACCACGAGCATCAATTCCGAAGACTTAAGGACAAATAGCCACCTTCAATTGGGCCCTTGAAAAACTAAAAACAGACATCCGTACCACCATAACATACCATCCTCCTCCGTACCTCTATAGTTAAGAAAAGTAAGTAAATATATATTTCTGGTGGGGTTGAATTGAAAGGGGTCAAACAGTAACTGAAAAAATATTACAATAAGGAAAATGATCGATGTAAGCAAAGCTCGGTGTGTCTAGAAAGAAGAGTTACTACATATTGAACTTTCAGAATACTGAATTTTTTGATTGTTGAATCTTTAAAAGTGTCTTTCCATGACGAAAATGTAAAATCACTTTACCTACATTTATTACCAGAAGAGGTTACATAATTGATTCCATAATCAGATCCATCAATAGATTTTATAACATTCCATAACCAGAATTACAAAAGTGTGTAAAAGTTATCACTAACTAAAATGTAAAAATTTTATTAGTTATGTAAATGTCCGTAAACAGATAATACTGATTCTCATGACCAAGTTTCATAACTAGATTTAATATTCCATCACTCGATTAGACGAGAATTATTATTAATGTATCTATTAATCACTAGATTACGAAGTCAAACCCCATAACTCTCAGTAACGAAATTCCATAGCCATAATTTTAAAAGTGTATTTTTATAAGGACCTTACCAGAACTGAATAAGTGTAAAGTCTAGAAAATGTAAAAATATAATAGTTAAGTATTGAGTTTAACCAAAATTCATATTCTAATCCCGTAACTTGTGATAAAGAAAACTACATAACCAAATTAAAAAGTTCGACACCATTACTAATACCTAACCAAATCTGAAAAAGTTTAACGACATACCCTAAACTAAATTACTTAACCAAATTTAAAAAAATGTTTCTCTATAAGTTATTAACGAAATTTAAAAAAATGTAAAGTTAAAACCCAAATGTAAATATCTAATAGTTGAGTATTTGAGTTGAACTAAATTGCATAATCAAATTACAGAACTTCTTATAATTAAAAACCATAGCCAAATTTGAAAAAGTGTAACGACATACTCACATCGAAATTCCTTAGCTAAATACAAAAAAGTATTTAAAAATAACCTCCTAACGAAATTCAAAAAAGTGTAAAATCAAGCTTAGAAATAAAACTATTTTAATAAAATTTTATCTAAGACATAACCAAATTACAAAAAATGCAAATCTGGTATCCAAATGAAACTCCATAACCAAATATGAAAAAGTGTCACTCCTTATGTAGTACATCACCAAATTCAAGAAAGTGTAAAACCAAAATCCAAAAGCTAATATATTATAGTTTTGTATTCATCGATAATTGGACAAACTTCATAAGTAGCTGTACCAACAAATTCCCATAACGAAATTTGAAAAGATGTAATGACATAATCAAAATGAAATCCCTTAACCAAATAAAAAAAAGTGTTTCACCATAAGGTCATAACGAAATTTAAAAAAGTGTAAATTCAAAACTTAAAAGAGTATCTCTATTAGGCCTAAACCAAATTCAAAAAATGTCAAAACCTAAATGTAAATATATGATAGTTAAGTAACTAAGTATAACCAAAATTTGAAGAAGTGTATCTCCATAAATAGTACATAGCCAAATTTGAAAAAGTGTAACGACATACTCACATTGAAATTCCTTAACCAAAAACAAAAAAGTGTTATAAATAAGCTCTTAACGAAATTTAAAAAAGTGTAAAATCAAGCTTAAATGTAAAATTATCTTAATAAGTTTCTATCTAAGACATAACCAAATTAAAAAAAGTGTAAATCTGGTACCCAAATGAAACTCCATAATCAAATATGTAAAAGTGTCACTCCTTATGTAGTACATCACCAAATTCAAGAAAGTGTAAAACCAAAATCCAGATGCTAATATATTACAGTTTGGTATTCTTCGATAATTGGACCTACTTCATAAGTAGATGCAACAAACTTCCATAACCAGATTCAAAAAAGTGTTGCACCTTTTACCAACTTTAAAAAAGTGTAAACACAAAATCAAAATGTAATGCCTCAACAATTGCCTATTTAGGTAGAAAGCATTTTTTACATTATTATTTCACGCACGCGCGTTATTAACGACAATCCGTGCCAAATTGCCCTCATACATCGCCATTTTCGCCAAAAGTACACTCTATGGTCTTAACCGTGCGCGTCCTAGCGTGTTTTTCACTTGACTGCCTGTAATTTACGAAAATCTCGTATTTATCGTATACTTAACTATTACATAGTAATATACTAGTATAAACCAATTACTATACTTTTTTCATCAAAACAGCCAGTTCCAACTATAAACCTTTCACTATTAGATCATATATACACTCTATAATAGATTCTATTCCTCTTTTAATCAGTAAAACTATATTTTTTAACATTTATTATCAATCGATCTAATTTTACTAAAATTACTTAGTATAACTTTTATTTTCATTTAATTATATTACCAAATACTATTAATTTAAGTAAAATATAAAAAACTACTAATAATCGTAATTCCCAACTTAAAGTCAGTTAGATCACTATTATAAATTATACTAGTCAGTATAAGTAGTTACTTAAGTAGATTCAGTACCTCTTTCTTCTGGTTATATTACTATTCTATTACTAGTACTTAAACCTCCTTAACTACTTATTTAATAAATTCAAATCTAATATACAGTACTCTCGTTTTCAACAGAAGAAATATCCATCCTTACCTCAAAATTTGCATGCTTCATACTTAAGAGTTTTATATGATGTGAGTGAACAACGAAATCAAGCATATCACATTAATAACTAAAATTTACTCACAAGAAAAACATAAAACTTTACACATAAATCTCAAACTAAACAAACAAACACAAATCTCTTTAGTAATTCTAAAAACTTAATCTTCTCTTACACCTATTTGGAAGTATATTGCAACTAAATTGTAATTTTGAAATGAAGTGAATATGACCATACCATCCATCATCACGACTACAAGTAGAAATCATTTCTAGCCAATGTTGGAAAAAAATAATGTTATCGTCATTAGCCTCATAATCTTTAGCCACCTTTGAGAAAAACAAAACATAAAAAAGCTCTCTAGTATACTCATAAGCACAATCTCCTTCATGTTTAATACCACAATTTTCACAGCCAAAAGAAAACTTCAGAAAATGAATCATACCAACAGCACTCACAGTACAAGCCCATTTAGGAAGACCATACATAGTTCCACATTGTATAATATGTTCTCTTGGATTTAATTTTGAAGGTGGAGCTATATCATTTTTCAAATGTTTTAATATATATAAAGGCATAAGTTTTATCTCCAGTAAATATGACAAAACTTTTACATATGTTTCAAATCCTTCATCCAGTGTTTGATTTATCTCAGATATCCTATAACCACTACCATTTTTAATCATTTGCTTGTACCTTTTCAACTTATTAAATGTGATGTCACCAGTTTTTAAATATTTCTCAAATGACCTTTCAGTTAGAATCTCCTGCACATTTCTGATATTAACTTCATTTAGCATTAGCTTTATACTCAAAATTTTCTCAAAAGTAGTTGAAAAGTTGCACCCATTACATGCTGCCGTTTTTAAATAGCATTTCTCACAAGTATCTGATTCATCACTATGAACACCACCTAAAGATTCCTTGTATGATCTAAAAATTTTAATTACTCCCTTCAAAAACTCTTCATTTTGGTCAAACTCTTTATTAAATTTACTTGAAGGTTTGCAAATATCCCATAAACGATTTATCCCCAGCTGTTTTTCTCTAATTTTACCACTAATGTGTATCATTTCCCTGACTGGTATTTTCAAAATAGGCTGATAAGACAAATCCTCAACAATTTTCTTGTATATTTGATTTTCTCCAATTAATTTTTCATTGTTGACTTCATGACTAATAGCAAAATCATCCAGTAATCGATAAAAATCAGCAATCCGTTTAAACACAGATTCTTGTGGATTGAATTTATTATTTTCATTTTTCTTGTTGTTGTTGTAATAATCTTTCAGATCTTTTGTGAAGTAGGTAGTTGAAAGCCCGTTGTTTCTTAAGCGTCCTGTGCATTGAATATAGTCACCAATATGGATCAATGAATTATAATAAATAACCTGGTAGTAATTAGAATTGTTCAATCCAACAGTTAAACACTTGGTTCCCAAAATAATTCTCTTCCCATCAAGCATTAAAAACTGAGTATTAAATTCACATGAAGCAGCTTCTCCCACAATCAAACCTACCAAATTTTCATTGAAATTGAGCAATAATATGTCCAAAAATGATTTAAGGGAATTTAAAGTATTGAAGTAAACTAAACATATTGATTCCTCTTTATGATCCAAAACTGATTTTATTCTTTGAATAGTTTTTGCAGCTAAATCTTTTGTATTGACCTCTATAAATTCATGAATTACTCCTTTATCGCAAACATCACTTATCCCGTTAATTACTTGAAACTTAAGTTTAAATTGATCCTCCAAGCATCCAATTGTTGTTGGTAATGGAGTAGCTGTCATAAATATCTGTTTCCGAAATAAATCAACAACCGATGCTTTCATCAAGCCTAATTTTCTGTAACCCTCAGATTCAATCAAGTGAGCTTCATCCAACACCACAAACCCAAGTCTTTCCTTGTGTATAGATAAAAAATCCTCAAAATACTGTTTCTTCAATAAATCAAAGCTGCATACAACAACATCAGTACTGTCAATAACATTCTGGTAGTCAACACCATCAAGCACATTAAACCTGTCCTTACGAAACCTTTTTATCATCTCATCTTTCAATCTTAAATATGGTACGGCTATTACATGAAGCCACTTTTTGGATGTCATCCTTTTAAACAATTGCATGGGGAATGATACACAATATGTTTTTCCAGCACCAGTAGCAGCAATAACAAAAAGTGATTTTGACTTACATAATGCAATCTGTAAAATGGTTTTATATTGAAAGCTTGAAAAATTGAAATCTGGAAACTGACTTAAAATTGCTGAATCGAGTCTATTAATGTCGAATGATCCAAAATCTCCTTGATCCTCTGGTTCCTTTGATGCTGTTTTCTTTGAATAAATAGTTGAGTTTGGTTTACCAGAAAGTTGAAGGTATTGACACCATTTCTCAAAAAGCTCAGTTGTGGCAGTTAATTTATAAGTTGAAAAATATGTCATAATACTCCTTTTATCAACACTATATTGCATTAAACCAGTTTCTGTCGAATGACCTTGTATACCTTCTAAAATATCTGCTGCATCCTGATTTAACAAACTTGAAAAATTATTCTTTATATAATATGAAGTGGCTTGTCTTAGAATTCTAACACCAATTTTCTTACTGGTAATCAATGACTGCAAAAATGAACTGAACTTTGTTGGTTTTATTAATCTACCACTATTGCTAACAAAACAGTAGGTATTAAAACATGCCCGTCCACTTACCTCATCACGAAAGTCCCTTGATGTAAAAGTATTTAACTCCAGCTCCACTAATGAAAGATGTAAAGTCCTAATTGCATATAAAAAAGCAATTATCATTGTACCAACTTCTTTTGAATAGGCCCTAAATCGATGATCTTCTTTTTTATTCTTGTTGTATAATGTTTGAATAATTAATTGTGATGATATGAAAACCACATTCCTTTTGGCAAAATTATCAGCTTTATAGTTTAATGTACACAACTCTGGCAATCTGAAAGAATTCATGGAACTAACATAAATGACCACCATGAGAGCCAATGTAGCTTTTTCAATCCACTTCAAGGCCAAGTCTTTTTCTTCAACAAGTGTAGCATCAAAAATCAAATCTATCATGTCAGGTAACAATTTTTGGGATTGAAAATCTTGGTTCAACATAAACTTTCCATACACATCCGATTGAGTTATTTTCCTTTTACATAATAAACAGATATTAGTCCAAGCATCTTCAAAAATATTCTTAGCTTCTTTATATAAATCTTTGAGATGACTTTTAGCAATTTTTGTATTACCAACCAGACAAGTATCTTTATCTATAGCAATGACATTGATGCTAGCATAAGTTGATTTGTTATCTAATAAACGTGTAAAAAGATTATTTGCTAGAATGGAACCCGGAATTTCAATTGACTTGGTTTGAATTTGTTGTTCATATTCCATAAGATTTGCTCTTGTGGTTGCCTTGACATATTTACTGATGTTCTTCAAGCAATTAATCCTCCTTAAACACTCTGACTCCAGAAAAAAATTTGTCTTGTCTTTTTTAAGAAAAAAGGGAAACACAACTGCAATTAATGACTCCCTATTATGAATGAAATTCTCAATTAATTTTTTGACTATTGAAACTTGATCTGTGCTAGACTTTTCCTCAATGTTTTCAATTAAACTCAACTCCTCTCCATGTATATCATTATTGATCATATCAAATTCTTTCCCAAGGCAAATTCTGTCCAACATTCTCCCAAAAACACGACAAAAACTATCCACGGTTGCAGGCTTGTGCTCTCTAATGAAATTTACAAATCCTTCATGATCTTTCATCCATCTTCTTGAAGTGATTGCACTAAACTCTGCAGAACCAATTGCTTTTTCATATAAAGTTCTGTATACAAATTTTCCAACTCCAACAATATCTTCATTATATGGTATTTCGACAAGTTTCTTGTCATTATCAGATATGTTCAAACCACCATAATAATCATTTAATGTACTATTGTCATTTATCACTCTAGCACTTTCTTCCTCCTCCTCTGCAATTCTAACCTGTTGCCACTCTGGGGTACCTAAAACAATCAAAGCACAAATCCTAGTTGTGATAAAAACCTTTACACCAGTCATCTTCACAGAATTCGGTGACTTATATTCCAGGAAACTAAATCTATCATTTTTATACTTTGCATATATGGTTTGTGACTCAGCATAGTGGAAAAGTGTTTCATGTTCCACTCTGATTATCCTTGACTCTATGTAATCACTAACCTTGACCAATCTTAGATTTCTATTTGCAATTTCACGACATGTTGGTTGACAATTTTTCTGAAAAGAAGCCAGATATGGATTTTTGACCCTATTATTGTGCACAATAAACCCATCAACATAGATCATATCACCTGGTAAAGACACAACTGGAGACACGTCTTCATCTTCTTCTTGTTCATATACTTCTTGATCATCTTCATCTTGTTCATCTGGTGTACTTAAAATAATTTCTTCACGAGAAGTCAGAACTCTGGAAAAATCTGGGAGATCTGAATCACTGCCAAATACATCATCATCGGATTCATAGCCTGTTTGTAGTTGCTGGGGGTTTCTGATAATGACTGTTGAATTGTTTGATTGATTGACTTGATCGACTATTGTTTCATCACTTGTGGTTGGATTATTAGTTGGTGATTGATTTCTGTTTCTAAAATTCGAAATTAAAGTTGATAATGGTGGAGCTCTTCGTTGATGAGGTGTATTTGATGCTGCTGGGACTGCTGATTCATTATCACTGTCAAAATCTGAATCAATGTCTGACTGAAAATCTTCATCACTGTTAATATCTGAATCTGAAAACATGATGTATTGAATGTGATTTGATGAAAAAAATATTGATAAGTAAAATAAGTAAAGAAAAGAAGTTAAATGAATTTTTGAAAAAGAAGAAATTGAGCTAATTATATAAGAAAAATTCTAATATGAAGGTCTAGATCATACAACTTTTTGTATTAAGATTATTGTGTGGTATCTATAAACACGTCTTAATTATATTAATTTTTTTTTCAAACTATTGTTTAAGAAANAAGTACACTCTATGGTCTTAACCGTGCGCGTCCTAGCGTGTTTTTCACTTGACTGCCTGTAAAGTATTTTCAACGTGTTTTGGATCGTCTAAAAGTTTATAATGAAAGTTAATTTCTTGATTGTTAAGCATATTAAAAGGGGTATCATATTTATCGCGTTCGATTCGTAACTACGTTGAGTTTACATTTCACTATTATTTTGTATCAAAAGATACATTTTATGAAGTTTAAAACTATGATTCATCATGGTTTTTTGAATCTTGTGGTCTAATATCAATTTATCATATAATACTGTAATACAACATAAAACACTACTTTTGTGCGAACACTTTAGAACAATTTGTGTAATATAGATAAACTTGTCAAAATTTAAATAACGAGTACATAAATTTGAGTGGCTTTTTACTCAGGTTATGAGAAGCAGTTAAATTAGATTAGACCAAAAAGGAATAATTCTTGTTCAATATTCTAATTCTTATCTACACATTCCAAAAGAATTGCTTTTTTTCGACGAAAACTTTAGAACTCGTAACTATACAATTTAACTTTAATATAATTTAGAATCTATTAAACAATTATATTGTGAATTGAAAATCGTGTTTTTTTTACATTTATATCTACATCTGGATAAATTGGAAGATTTTCATAACGCGTTTCATGAATGTTCATAACTAAAGTTAATTTTAAATTTGTTTTAAAATACAATTTCAAATGAGCACCATTGTTGTCTATTCACAACTTATTTGAAATTTACGTTTCGTGATTAATGTTCATTTCTTATCTTGAGATTATCAATAATCTTGTTAAAAATTATTGATAGATTTGCTAAATCATTGTTCATATTTAAATTAAATTGAAAAAAGATAAGAATTTATTAGATTAGACCAAAAAGGAATAATTCTTGTTCAATATTCTAATTCTTATCTACACATTCCAAAAGAATTGCTTTTTTTCGACGAAAACTTTAGAACTCGTAACTATACAATTTAACTTTAATATAATTTAGAATCTATTAAACAATTATATTGTGAATTGAAAATCGTGTTTTTTTTACATTTATATCTACATCTGGATAAATTGGAAGATTTTCATAACGCGTTTCATGAATGTTCATAACTANAGCAGTTAAATTAGATTAGACCAAAAAGGAATAATTCTTGTTCAATATTCTAATTCTTATCTACGCATTCCAAAAGAATTGCTTTTTTTTGACGAAAACTTTAGAACTCGTAACTATACAATTTAATTTTAATTTAAATTTACATCAAAGCTGATTGTAGATTGAAAATCGTGTATTTTTTACTTTTATACCCACATCTGGATAAATTGGAAGATTTTCATAACGCGTTTCATGAATGTTCATAATTAAAGTTAATTTTATATTTGTTTTAAAATACAATTTCAAATGGGCACCATTGTCTTCTATTCACAACTAATTTGAAATTTATATTTCGTGATTAATTGTTCATTTCTTATCTTGAAATTATCAATAATCTTGTTAGAAATTATTGATTTGAAAGCACATAATCAGATTTTAGACAATTTATTTTGAGACTAGATTTGCTAAATCATTGTTCATATTTAAATTAAATTGAAAAAAGATAAGAATTTCGAAATACGTGATTCATTAAAATATAATTAACTGTTTTAATATCTAGTTTCAACATACAATTCTAAAGGGGTACATAATTGTTATCAATTCAGTACTAATTTGTAATTCACATTTCGTGATTGATTGTTTGAGTGTACTTAACAAGAAATTAGAAATTAGACGGTTTGTGAGAACAATAATTTATATCTTTGTTTATAATTAAGAAGAAATTGAAGAAAGATAAGAACTTTAAATTACGTGATTTGTTCCTGTGTGAAATTTTCCAAATATAACTCTAATAAGTTAATTAACTATCCAATACAACCTTCTTATTACAATTCGTTGAATATTGTATTGTAAAAACAAAAAAAACATTTGATATTTTTCTTATCTATAATTACATTTATTGAAAGGAAAACAAAAATATTCTTTATCTAAAACAAGGGGTATTTCAAAACTAAGCCCATCTTAAAATTATGATACAAAATAAAATTTTAGATTCATAGAACCGTTTTTGTAATTCGATACAGGTTACATGTATTTAATTATTTTTAGCTGTACTTTTAATTTTGATAAGACCTTTTTATGCTTAACTAAATGTTAGATTAACAATCTTATTTAAATTGTAGCTAGATAAATTAACAAAATGCTAACAACTAACAAAAACTCCCAGGAAAGAAAAATCAAAACCTATCTAATACATTATAGAAAAAAAAAATTCAAACAGACATCCTGCATCCGTACCATACTCGTCCGTAACATCCTCATCCGTAAGATTATGTCTTCAATAGGATTGAATACTCTATGAAGAAGTTACCTTATTGAAGTACAAACATATTTTGAAGTGTTAACTAAAATACATCAGTTATGGGTATGACTGTAATGGGCATAATATGTAATTATCCTGTATATTAATACTCGACATCTATTTTACCCTCTTATCTTTAGAGTTATATAGGTATATATCACTGATCCATCCTTTAATACATTCCACCCTCAACGGATCAATACAATGACCAAACTAAAATAATAAAAAACAAAACTTAAAGTTACACTTAAAAAAAAAACTAAAATAATAACTGAAACATAGTAAATCAATACCTAAATTAATAAATAAATTCATTACTACATTAATTAATACATTAATAACTAAATCGATAATTAAATTCATAATTAGATCTAAAATAATAACTGAAACAATAACTAAATTTAGTGTAGTAAATCAATAACTAAATTAATAACAAAATTTAATACAAGAATAATTACTAGAATAATCACTAAATCAATAATCAAATTCATAATTAAATCAATAATTAATTACATAACTCAGTTCCAAGAACCATTTCCACAAGCCAATAGAACAAAATAATTGTTGGACTTCATATTACATTGCATAACTAGAATCTATTACTGCTTTTATAACTGAAATCCTAACTAGAATAACCACTGGAACCAAATTAATAACCAAATTAATAACTAAATCAGTATCTAAAACAGTAACAAAAACATTATCTAAAACAGTAACAAAAACAATAAATAAAAAATAACTAGAACAAAACCAAATTTAAAACTAAAATAATAACTGAAACAATTACTAGGATAATAACTGAAACATTAAGTAGAACAATAACTAGAACAATAGTTAAATCAGAATCTAAATCTATAATCAAAATGATATCTAAGTTCAAAATAACTTCCAAAAACAAAAGGAAGAAAATATACAAATACTTAATTATCATGCATTCTTTGCTTTCATTTCCAAACTCATAACTAGAATTCATAACTGTTTTCATATCTAAACCAATAACCTAATCAAAAACTAGATTAATAAATAAAACAGTAACAAGAACAATAATAACGACAAAACTAAAAAATACTTAATATTGTATCGTAAAATAATATCTAGAAACATAACTGAAACAATTGATGTCTAATAACTTTCATTTATATTTCGGTATATTCGCACGACTTTTATGTCGACGAACATTTATATTTCCGTTGTTGATATTTTGTAGATTTTAGATACTTAACCTATCAACTTATATTTAAACTTATATATTATATTAGAATATCTAATTACCACTAAGCATAAAGTAACATAGAGTACGCTTAGATAATTTTATATTGGAATCTAATTTTAAGGCCCAAGTTAACATCACAATAACCAAAATAATAACTGTAATAATCAACAAATCAAGAATAAATCTATAATGAAATCTATCATGAAATCTATAATGAAATATATAATCTATAATGAAATCATAGCCAGATCTATAACAATTCCATAAATCCACAATAGTTCCATTCCTAACTACATGATCAAAAGAAATCATTATCTGTTCTACTTTAGATCTATAAGTTATTGCTACTATCAAACAACTACTTCAATAAAATACGAGCTCAACTTATTTGGTAGCTCATTTACGAGTACTGCGTTTTTTCGATTTTTTCTCACTCAAAAAAAAAAAAACTTCGCGCTCCCAGAACTCATTTTAAAACTGCAACGCCGCATTCACGATCACATTGGTAAAAAGCACACGCTATGGCGCTACCTATGAGTTTCAGAACTGGAATTGGACGCAAATTGCTGCAAACTCAATAACAGAGTCAACAAAGTAAAACTACCAAACAAAGTCAACTAGTAAAGACAACTAAGAAAGTCAACTATCTAAGTCAATTAACAAACTCAACTATCAAACAATTTTAACTATCAATTAACAAACTCTACTATCAAAATCAACAGTAAGCTACCAAAATCAAATAAGTAAGTACAAAAAAAATAATTTACGAAAATCTCGTATATATCGTATAAGTAACTATAATATAGTAATATACTAGTATAAGATATCAACATTACTATACTTTTTTCATCATAATAACCAAATCTAACTATAAATCTTCCACTATTAGATTATATATACACTCTATAATAGATTCTACTCTTCTTTTAATCAGTGAAACTATAAATTCTAACACTTTATTATTAATCTTTATAATTTTACTAGAATTACTTAGTTTACTTTTTATTTTCATTTAAATATAATACCAAATACTATTAATTTAAGTAAATTATAAAAAACTACTAATAATCGTAATTTCTCAACTCAAAGTCATTTAGATCACTATTATCAATCATACTAATCAATATAAGTAGTTAGTTACTTCAGTAATTATAGTACCTCTTC